GTGGTATGCCGAATGAGGAGAACGAGAAAATCAACGGGGGTTTTCTACAAATTTTACCGTGCCCCCACCTAACTTTGAATCACACGTGGACAGCAGTCCACATCAGCGTTATAGAAGTGGGAGATAGCGTTTGGACCGGGATGACACACTAAATAAAGTTTAGGGATCCTGATGTACAAATTAAGAGTACCGGAACATAAATAAGAACTCGGCACAAGTTTAGAGACCGCTAGTGAAATGTACTCTACTAATAATATCTTGTGGTTGGTTGTTGAACCACGTTATCTAGTGGAAAATTGGCAGTTATCACCCTGTTCGCTTATCGTATCAGCCATGCTTATCAGTCATGATATAATGTTTTCTCTCACAACAAAACAGTATCAGCCGACTTATAAGCCACAAAAATGATCTAAGCGAACGGGGTGTATACGTGGTGACATGCCTTGACTAGTCTGGATTTTGGACAGGTTCCGGTGGACGAAGTGTCAGCAGCAGTGAGCTGTTCTTTGAGTGCTCTTCTAGCATCACGTGGTGGTTTATGCTTGATCTTCAGTGGACAGTCCAAGGCAGTCTTTTTCAAATGGTAGCTGAGCAGAGAAGGTCAACCCAATCTCTTTCTTCACGGGAGATCTTTATAATTGCTGCCTGGTGTATATGGAAACAGTGTAATGCCTACGTTTTCAATAATAAGTTGCCGTCAGTTGCTACATGGAAGTTGCTTTTCACAAGTGAAGTTAAACTTCTTATGTACCGTATCCCAGCTCCTCTTCACCCCTTAGCTATGAATTGGTTAAAGAATCTGTAATATGTTTGTTTTTATCCCTTATTGTTTAGCTGTCTTAGCTTTGTAATTAGGTAGGTCGTCTCTGGTTAGCTTCCTGCTAACCTTCTTCTCCATGTTCTTTTCTCTTAATAATGCACTGGGGAGCTTTGCTCCACGGTTTTTAGTTAAAAAAAAGTGTTGGCAGTGGCTAATTCGTACATTGCATGGAGCGTTCAGTAGTCCCTGATTCTTCCTAGCTACTGGCGGTTTAGCTTCTAGCCAGAAGCATAGTCCCAATAAGGCACAGAACCTTTCGGGAATATACCTCCAGATTCGAGGATGAGCTTGTCCCCTGAAAAATGAGTTACCAGCTGCTTGGCCGTTCTCTCCTCTGACCCTCCGGTGCCATCGAGCGCCATCCACGCCTCATCACACTGCCGTTTGCTCCCCTTTGCACATCCAATCGACAGATATCCTTCCTTGAATACTTTTCTTTAAGAAGTTTATGCTTTCTAAATTTTAATAGTGACATGTGCGAGATTTCTAAATTTTAATAGTGACATGTGCGAGATTTCTAAATTTTAATAGTGACATGTGCGAGATTTCTAAATTTTAATAGTGACATATGCGAGATTTCTAAGTTTTAATAGTAAAGTAACTTTCTATGATCACGATGGTTCTTTCCTTCTACCCTATGTCTAACCGTGCGTTTGGTTGGAGGGATTTGTAGGGGTGGGATGGGATGGACTTAGGATTTGGGCTGTTTGGATGGGAGTCGGCCCAAGGACAGGGACATCCCGCCTAAGCATATTCCCCTCAGATTTCTTGACTCCCATCCCACTTTTTTTCACAGACGGGGGCGGTCCCTGCTTTCTTCTCGTTCCTTCTCACCTCTCACCGACAGCCTCACTCGGTTCTTTCTCGGAAAAAAGGCACGAGCGGGCGAGAGCTCGGCGGCGGCGCATCCTTCACCGGCGCGGGACGCGGGGCCACAGCGCTTGGCAGCGGCGCGACACCAGGCGGCACGTCGGCGGCGCGGCACCGGCCCCCACGGCGGCGGAGCGGCACGGGCCCTCGCAGTGGCGGCGTGGGCTGTGGTCGGCGGCGGCGGTGCGGCACACGTCCGGCAGCTTCGTCCTCCTTCTCCATTAGCAGATTTGTGATTTGCCCAAGGTATACAAACCCTAACACAATGGATTTGCCCAAGATTTGTGATCTCCATTAGCAGATTTTTTTGTTGCCTCCAGTAGTTCAACAAGTATGATGTGATTTATGCTTGAGACATGTTTGCTTCTGCATATGGTAAAAAATCAGCAAAGTTCAATGGGAATTTTTTCCCTACGCTGTAGCGCTAGTAAGTAGATGAGTGTTGTTGCATGCCCCTGAGTACATGTATCTGTTTGCGCTGAGCCGCTGAATTCAGTTTGCCTGGATTTGTACTATCGCCATGCAAGGATGTACCCTTTGTATGACGATGTTCAGTCCAACATTTGTTTATGGATTCAGGCTATTCATTCATTTGTGCTCCTAGCGTCCTGTGGATGCTTAAGAAATATTTGCAATTTTTCTATTTGGTATATAGTTCTGGTAACATCCAAAGAAAAAGTTTTGGTTACAAGTATATGTTACTCATCATATTCAGTATGACATTGAAAAGAAAAAAAATATAACGACAAGTACTAGCAAATTTATCAGTGACAAACAAAACACTCTATCAGTTATCAGACCGAAGTAGTATCCGGGTTAATGTAGTATGCGCTATGCCCACAGATTATTTAACTATTTACCACTTTTTATGTACTGAATGGCAACACATCTGCCAGTCTGCCACAGTGGCAATGGCTCATTGGTATTGACTCTGGTGTTCCCAGATGTTAAGTTGCCTCATGTTTCTGATCTGTGTTTGAGCATGACATGACAATATTGTTTTTCTTTCTTTGATTGTTGCATTGTAGATGGATCAGAGAACCAAGGTTCTAATTTGTTCAGCTGCTGCATATATGTTCTTGTTCATGGTGGCCATGGTTATTCAGTCTAGAAAAAGAAAAAGACGTGCCAGTAGAGTTGGTATTACTTATGCGCCAATTGAGGAAAGGGATAGAATTAGACAAGAATACCTAGACACTTGCATTTGGAAGGATGATACAACTTGTGTAAACATGCTTAGACTTAATAGAGCATGTTTCTATCGATTTTGTAACCTTTTTAGAGATCGAGGGTTGCTTCAAGATACCACTCATATGTGTGTTGAGCAACAGGTGGCTATGTTTCTAAATACAGTAGGGCACAACCTTAGAAATAGGTTAGTTGGCACTAATTATAAAAGGTCAGGAGAAACAGTAAGCCGCTATTTCAACAATATTCTTCATGCCATTGGAGAGCTACGAACAGAATTTATTAGGCCCCCATCATTGCAAACTCCGTCCAAAATTGCCGGAAACTATCGGTGGGATCCTTATTTTAAGGTGTGAGGTTTATCCCTACCTTTGTTTTACATTTAAATTATGTAACCTTGTGTTGGCCCCTAATTAATTTTTACTTTGATGAACATAAACTAGGATTGTATTGGAGCTATTGATGGTACACACGTAAGAGCATCTGTTCCTAAAGATTTGGAGCATTCGTTTCATGGTAGAAAGTCCTTTGCAACTCAAAATGTAATGGTAGCCGTAGATTTCGATCTATGTTTTACTTATGTCTTGGCTAGTTGGGAAGGCACAGCACATGATGCTTTAGTTTTGCGAGATGCTTTAGAACGCCCTAATGGCCTTCGTGTTCCACAAGGTAACAAAAAAAATCACTAACTTAATTTCGTTATGCCAATTTTTGATAACTTGAAATGTGATCTCCTTTTCTACAATATGCTAGGCAAATTCTATCTCGTTGATGCCGGTTATGGCGCCAAACCGGGATTCTTGCCTCCTTTCCGTGGAGTTAGGTACCATTTGAATGAGTGGGGGAATAATCCGGTCCAAAATGAGAAAGAGTTATTCAACCTTAGGCACTCGTCTCTTCGTGTGACCATAGAGCGTGCATTTGGTTCACTTAAGAGGAGATTCAAAATTCTTGATGATGCAACTCCATTCTTCCCTTTGCAAACTCAAGTAGATATTGTTGTAGCTTGCTGCATAGTCCATAATTTTGTCATAGCAGATGAGATTGATGAGTTCATCATTCAAGATTCGAATTGGCCAATGCAAACCCATGCTACATCATATACTGGACAAGCAAATGAGCATGCTGCAACCGTTCAATTTAGACAAACAATTGCGGATCAGATGTGGGTAAACCGTCAAAACCATTATGCAAATTAATATATAGTATCTCTATGTATTTTTATGTATTTAGACAAACAATTGTGGATCAGCTGTGTTGATTTTAATTTGTATGGACATATGGCTTGCTGAAATGTATGTACAGCTCGCTGGAATTTGTATGACATATGCCTTGCTGAAATTTATTGGTTGAAACATGCAACTTGAGAAGTAATTTATGTTGAAACATGCAACTTGAGAAATTATTTATTAATTGTTTCTGGCTCTATTTTCTTCCTTGCAAGGTGTGCAATTACACGATATAGTGACAGGTTCAATATATTTCTGCAGGCTAATAAGCACTGCTTTGTGTGCTTGTCTATGTGAATTCTACTTCGTTGCTATTGAATTGCCTGTACTCAGTTTCAGTGTGTTCTTTGTCCGTCTTTGGTTTTCTTTCAGGTGTTCAGATATACCGTCTCAGCAGCAGTGCATGAAGCCGATTTTTCTTGATTAGCAGCTGGAACAAGTATTCAGGTGAGCAGGTTCAGAATAATGAAAGGTACTGTCTCGGCATGTTAGTTGTTCAGCACTTTTGATCTCTAATTCTTGTGAAAGGTCTGTAGTGTTTCAGATTTTAGTATTTAGTGTTTCAATTTTAGTCCTGAATATTAAACTTTATTGCTTGCATGCTTTTGTTTGCATAGTAGCACATAATTTAGTTCAATAATGTTACGTGTGAATTATTGTTTCAAGTTTCAGGGTCTGATATTCAGTCTTCAGCTGTGTTTCCTTTGAATTTTTTGTCTCCACTATTTTGCTCAGTCTGCAGTAATTTTCTTGCTGTCCCATCCTTCTTCCTATTGCAGTCGAAAGATGCAGGCTTCATTGGTGGTGACACACCAGCAACAATTCACAATTGAAAATGTGGATTAAATTTTTTTGTCTCATCGACTTTCTTTGTCTTCTACGTCGCCACCGCCATGGCCATCTACGTGCGTTGCAGCGAATGTGTTTTGTTTTGGGTGCTGGTTTTTTCTCTTTCTTGTCCGTCAAGTTGGTGCCTATACCTGTGTTGTTTGTCTGCCAGAAACAATTAATAAATAACTTCTCAAGTGGCATTTGTGTTTCCTGGTTTTGTATATGATAGGTCATGGCAGACCTGAACGAGGAAGTTGGGGGAACAAATGGACATGCTGTATGGACATCACCAGAGACCGCTTTTATGCTGACTCACCTAGCCAATCTGGTGGCTCGTGACACAAAGACATGTTCTGGCTTTAAGAAAGTCCATTTGAACACTTGTGCTAAAGCTGTCAATGAAAAGTTCAGGACTATGAAGACTGGAGAGCAAGTTAAAAATCATTTGAAGACACAACAAAGGAAGTTTGCAAAGATGACCAAGCTTAGGAATGGTTGGGATGAGGACAACTTCATTATCACTCTTGATGAGGAGCACTACAATGATTATGTTAAGGTATAATTGCAAAAAACTTAACCAGCATGTTAAGTTCTAATTGTTTGCTTCTAACGAAACTTCCATTTATCCATTGTAGGGTCACAAGGCTGATGCTGAATTCTTGAACAGGCGCCTTCCAAACTATGGTGAGATGCGAACAATCTTTGGAAATAGTATGGCAACAGGAAAATTTGCTAAGAACTCAAATTCTGCATTAGGTACTGAAGAAGCTAACACTGAAAATGAAGACCTCAATGCAAATACTGTGAGTGAGTTGAATGCAAATGGTGAGAGTGAGGCCACTCCCTCTCTTTCTAATCAAGGGGCTACCTCATCAGCAAGCAAGCCAAAGAAAGCTAGGATTGGTGGGGATGAAGAGGATGGGCTGATTGCTGTAATCAGTCGTGTTGGTGACAGACTTGCTGAAGCTATAGAGAAGGCCTGTGCTGCACCCCCACCACAGCCCACCAATGATTTACCAGATGATCTATTCAACATGTTGATTAACCTTCTAGGCTTTGATGCCGCCCAGTTAAATCTGTACTACCAGTATTTGGTGGCCAACAAAGACATAGGACGCGCATTCTATAACCTTCCTTTTGACCACAAGTTAATGTGGGTGGCTATGTTTGTCTCAGAGAGGTTCCCAGGACAGTGAAATAGGGGCTTCAATGGTTCTTTTGCTTGCAAGGTTCTCAGGACAGTGAAATAGGAAATTCAATGCTTCTTTTGCTTGCACCACATGAGACAATTAGTTGTGGTTAACTAATTCTAAGGCTCGAACTATATATTGTGACTAGCCTTGAATTTACTATCATGTGTTTGTATATTATGTGATATGTTAAAATTTATACTGTTTGTAAGGCTTAGAACTGTTATGTATAAGCCTTGAACTTCTATTGTGTCCAAGAACTTGGCATGACCTGTAGTCTTGGCACTTGCTAATATATGTGAGTTAAGACCTTTATGGCAAACTGTGCACTTGAATGTTACATATGCATTTATCTTTTTAGATATATTTGTGGTGATTTTAGATGGCAATGTCTTTTTTTAGATATATCTGTGCTGATTTTGGAATGCAATAGCAATGGTAAGCCATTCTATTTATTAACAGTATGTCCTCAATATAAAAGGTGGTAAGTATAGCTACATTATGAAGGAGGCGATCATATGGAGATATCCTATCTCTATCCCTTCATCCAAACATGAGACAGGATCACTCCGTCTCACTTTATCCTCCCAACCAAATAGAAAACAGGGATCATCCCATTCCACTGACCAAACAGAAATAGGAACCATCCTATTCCAGAAAACAGAGTCAGCACCATCCAATTCCATTTCGCCTCTCAACCAAACGCTACCTAAAAGGTGACTGTTTGAACCGGCTGACTACACAACACAGAGTACTTTGTACCCTGTATCCTGTAAGAAGTTTATGTTTTCCCATGACGCATAGCCATTTACTCGCATCATTTTTCATACATGTAGTTGGTTACATGCAGAGATCTACTCTTGGGCTGATTTAGTTCCCAAATCCCAATAACTAACATGCAGATGATGAAGCGGTCACGAAGGAATCATGAGAAAGAACACCCTTATACTGAGGGACGAAGGACCACTACTGGGAATAAAGCAGACTGCGACACATGTACTCAGGGTAAGTCTTCTCTTTAAGCCATCGTACCCTTGGAGCAGGGGCGAAGCCCAATAAAAGCCCGTGGGTGCCCAGGCACCCCCGTCCAATTCTAGAAATTCTTAAGAGCTAGAAAATTTTGGCCCTATATACACCCCCATGGCCCAAGACGAGACACCCCCACCAGCCCGCAAAGCCCACTGCGCCACTTCTTTCCAGGCTTGCTTCCAGCCGAAGCATCACACGTAGGGGGCGGCGGACTCGCGGTTCCTTGCTCGTGACTCCTCGCGCCTCGCGAGCGACGAGTCTGAGCTGTAGGGCGCTGCCGACGCCGCGTCGGTCATGCCAAGCCGCGTGCCCCTGCTGCCGTATGTCCCAGCGCCGCCGTTCTCCCAACCCTGCGCCGCCGTCCGCTCCACTTTGAGCCGAGCGCAGGGTTCGACTCGCTGGTCGTGGCCAGTGGCAGTCCCCGCCCTAAGCTCTGTCCGCAGTCTGCCTGGCCGCCCTCTGTGGCTCTGCCGGCTGTCCCTGTCCGTCCCATCGGCCATCGCTGCCCCTTACCGGCTGCCGGTGAGTATATTTGTAATTTTATTTATGCTCGAGTTCATCCTCAATCAAATTATTTATATGCGAAATTGTGAACTGCAATTTGCATTGATTATGCAAATGAATGAGTTATAGATTATCATGGAGAGGTATTATAAATGGAAAGCTTAAGAAGTGTGATGATTTGTTACAAAGAAGTTAACAATGAGGCTGTGGTTCATGGTTTCATGACCATGGAAAGAAAATGGCATAAATATGATCTTTAAGAGGTAATGTAAATACAATGCATCTACTTTCAGTGGATAATTGTACATTTTCTTTGCTAAATAATTGACATATTTGTTCAATTTTCTTTAGGCAAGATCACATATTTTGCTATACGGGACATCATTTGTTTTTGACATTCTTTCAATCACTACACTAAATGGTGAGTGTTATTGTCCTTGCCCCTACTAGTTTGCTTATGTTTTGACCAAAATCACATTGCCATTACTGGAAATTAAATTTTGATGTTAAAAATTATGAATTAGTTATGCTATTTGTCTGAACATCATATGGGTCACTATATTCATAATGAAGTTGGGCATTCCCATCCATTTGCTCTAGCTTCACCACAGGCTTGGAGTCTTTTTTTAGTTGGGTAAATCTTGTTGAGTACCGTCATATACTCATGGTTTGTTAACCCTATTGCAGGTTCTGACTTCGAGGTAATGTCGGTGGGCTCGACATGATCTGGTTGTCCCTATCTCTCTCTTATGTGCTTTACCTAAGTTGTTTTCTGTAGTTCTATACTTGAACATGTTTTGTAACCTGATGTTGTGAATCCTCCGCACTAATATTTTTTTACCAAATGTTGTAATGTTGTGGTAACTTGATCCTGTATGAGTTGTAAAAAGTTGATGATTCGGGGTTCCCCGAGGACACCCAACACCGAAATTATTTGGCTCTTGTGTGTAGCAGTAAGAGGTATTTAGCACAATAACATATACACGTAATCCGTATAATTTAGACAGTTCTACCACACAACCTCCCCATCCTAATTCTAGACTGACGATAGACGAGACGACGATCACTCGGCTCGAGGGTCTCCCCTCCTTGGCTGCTTGCTAAGAATTCATGGCCATGCATGAGCCACAAGGCGTCGCCATCATGTATTCATCGTGGTGGTGACGTGACACTGCACTGTCTTGTGCACATTTCCATGTGAAAGCACGCGCGCTCACGTTGTGATCAATGCTAGCCGTTGGCAGCTGGGCACGGAGACAATGTACTGCTATATCGGTCTCTTTTGAAGTGTCCATATACTATTTTGTGATGGTCAAAATTTTTAAGTTTAAATAAGTTTATAAAAAATATTACTAATATTTATATTTTCAAATAAATTTATTTTAAAAATAGATTAAATGATCTATCAAATGATACTAATTATGTACCAAACCTATTAATATTTTCCTGTATATATTTGGTTAAAATTGAGTACATTTAACTTCATGAAAGGTGAGAATCACAGTTAGAGGTGGAAAGAGTAATAATTAATAATGTGAGACCAAGTCAGAGCAAGTTCAATAATAAAGCCAGATCTTTAACTATAAGTCAATTTGTAAGAGCTAATATATTATTTATATAAAAAAACTTTTTATTAGACTCTCGTGTTTGCTTAAGAGTCCAGCTATTCTCTCTCTCCTCTTTTCTCTTCTTCGCATCATCATTTGTTGTGCTTGCTCTCATTAAGATTCAGCACATGCATGGCACTTGCACTCGACCCTAGCTAAAGACTTGACTCGCTGCTCCCGTAATTGTTGGAGCTAGTGTAAGACCTTATTTGGATACGCATGTATTTATCTCAATTTACATGTGTTGAAGTAGATTGTAGTAGAATTAAATTAATTTTTATTTTAATTTACTCCAACACACGTGAATTGAAGGAGATACAAGTGCATCGAAAGAAGGCCCGAGAAAAAAAAATTCCACGCGTTATTGCCCACCTTTCCACAGACATGTGCGAGATTCTAAGTGTAACTTCCTGTGATTACGATGCTTCTTCCCTTCTACCCCATGGCTAAAAGGTAACTGTTTCAACCTACTCACTACACAACACGGAGTACTCTGTATCCTGTATCCTGTATCCTATAAGAAGTTTATGCTTTCCCATGACGCATAGCCATTTACTCGCATCATTTTCCCAAATCCCAACAACTAACATGCAGATGATGAAGCGGTCACGAAGGAATCACGAGTAAGAACACCCTGATCGACCACCACTGGGAATGAAAAGGACTGCGACTGCAGCATCCTGCGTCTTCGAGAGGCATGCCTTGCTCATGTCATCTCCCTGACGACTCCCACAGATGCGTGCCGTTCCTCAGCCGTATCTACCGCCTTCCAAGCAGCAGCGAGCTCTGATCCGGTGTGGGAACGTTTCCTGCCTCCAGAATACAGATCGATTCTTTCTCGCGCCGACCATCCTGTAGATTTGACGACCAGCAAAAAAGAGCTGTTCCTCAGCCTCGCCGAAGACCATCGCCCTGCTCGTTTGAGCTACTTTTCAGCCATGAAATAACGTTTTCTCTCACAACATTTGAACATAAACATCAGTATAAACTAAATTTCAGCATAAACGAACAGTGTTCATATCCTCGTCGACCAAGGCACCAAGGTATGAACTTGAGCAAGCATCGAAATAAAATATGATGTTTTTCAGTTTTTTAGTTCGTTAGTTGTAGAGTAAGAAATGCATGATGCCTGGTGATTTACCCCTGTTCTAAATCATTGTTCAGTTTAATTTTGTTCTAAGTCAAAACTTATCTCGGTTTTACCAGCTTTAGAGGATGAGAATATATTGATATAAGCGTTTTGTCTCGATGAAAAATCTTCTGGTTACAAGTTCCAACAAATGAATTATCTAGATACATTTCCCGATAATTCTAATTAATAAAACAGATTTGGTATTGTTGATGTCAATGTACTTTTATATAAACTTGGTGAAAATAAAAGAAGATTGATTTAGGACAAACCTAAATGAACTACTAGTATAATTTATATAAGGGGTGCTTTGCTTTTTAGTAGGGAGTAATGATTAAATCAAGGCATTCCTTCCGTGATCATGATGCAAACTGAGTCAAGTCGTTTTTTTTTGCTGTACTGTAAGAGCTTTTGGTTGGACCGAACAAGAGGCGCCAAATGTTACATGCTATCATCGCGAGCATTACACGTTACATGGGCCGATTATCCCCAGTACTGGAGACGGATCTATTTGCCCGATTCCAGGTTTGCATCAATGATTCCTGCCCTAACTTCTACATTTTCTATGGGTTGTATTAATCTGTATCTAGGCTGCAGGCACAATTTGCTCATATTTAGTTGCTTACATAGACTTTTATATAGGTTTATTACATAGTGTGACCAAACGCTGTATTAACTAGTACGCCTAAAAATGAAAATCCTCATCCGCATGCCTCAAATAGAAATATGAGACCTCA